ACGCCAACATGTCTATTCTCGACGACAGCGTGGGTATTCTGCACGCCAACATGTCTATTCTCGACGACAGCGTGGGTATTCTGGACGCCAACATGTCTATTAGCGACGACAGCGTGGGTATCCTGCACGCCAACGTGTCTGTTCTCGACGACAGCGTGGGTATCCTGCACGCCAACGTGTCTATCCTCGACGACAGCGTGGGTATTCTGGACGCCAACGTGAGTATTTTCTTTTGGAATCGTTGATATTCTGAACGCCATGCTGGGTGACCTCGCCACCGCGGGTATTCCGGATGCCAACGTGGGTATTCTGGACGCCAAAGTGAGTAGGTGTTATTTACAGGAATCGTTGATATTCTTTACGCCAAACAGGGTTTTCTGCGCATCGTAGGTATCCTGGACATCAACGTGGATATTCTAGATGTCAGCGTGGATATTCTAGACTCCAACGTGAGTATTTTCTACAGGAAATGTTGACACTCTGAACGCCAATCTATGTTTTCTCGCCATCGTGGGTATTCTGGACGCCATTGGGGGAATTCGGGACGACAATGTAGGTATTCAGGGAGCAGACGGGGGCAATTTTGTTACAGAAATCGTTGGTACTCATAAGGCTCATCTGGCTTGTCTCGCAATTGTTGGTATTAGAACGCCAAATTGGAAATTCTGGACATACAATTGTGTATTCGGGAACGTGCCAACGTGGAAATTGTCGATGACATTGTGGATAATTAGAGAAACATCATCTTTGGAATTCTGGTTGGAATCGTTGCCTTCTAAACGACATCGTATTCTGGACACCAACGTGGGTTAATTATCGAACTTGCTACCGCCACCCCCAAAACACCCTCAGCCGCCATCACCGAATCCCGCCACAATGCAACGCACTCAGTGTATGTATCTGTTGTGTATCCATCTGCAAAGTGATGATGTGCCTAAACTATGTGTTACGACATATTGTGTCCTTCCGAGTGCATGTGCCACAATGTGTCAGCGAGCTGTATGCAACGATGACGGGAGAATTCTGTCTGTGACGCTATGTCTAGCAGTAAAAATGAGTCAAATGAGTTGTATTGGCGGCGGTCGCAACGACGTGGTCGCGGGGCCGATGTGTCTACGTTCCTGCCGTCCTGCAGCGTGGAGTGATCGGCACCGACCAGACTGCCCTATGTCGATCTAGCGTGCGCGTGTAGGTCGGGCTTTGCTGATTCACTCTACGATCGATTTGAGCTGCCTGAAAATGCCTTTCACCGTATTACCGCCATGCAGGTCGTGAGCCCATTGTGTTTATTGTGAATAAATTTCTGCCTTCTCAATGAAGGGAAAGTGATATTTGCAGCAGTAAACCTGAATGCAAACTTTGCAGTTCTTGCACCGGGGACTGTTATCATGTTATGCACAAATAGGGACATTGTCACATTACTGTTGAAAAATCTGGGTGTAAGCCATTTTCATTAAGTCTTCAAATTAAAAAAAATAGAAGAACACGGTTTAAAATGAAAAAGAATGATAAATATTATCAAAACCGTCCTGTGTGAATATGAGTTTGCATGGGTGAGTGGGTTGAGTGCGTGAGTGCGTGAGTGCGTGAGTGCGTGAGTGAGTTAAAATATATGACGTCTCTTCGGCAATAGGTCAGTCACATGACGAAGACAATTCATTAATATTTCATTAATATTTCATTAAAAATTGAATTAAACCATTACAAATCATTGTCAGTCATGTCATATTAGTTGATTTAGAAATAATATAGTATCTGAATGTAATGCCATTATCTGTTTGAACAGTACGACTGTGCGCATGGAAGTGAATGTGATTTTGTATGCATAATAGTCAAACTTACCTTTGTTTTCCTTGTATCCACTTTATTATAAAACGTAGCGCTAATGGATAGGGTTTGGGTTGAGTTTGTGGGGGGGAATGTGGGCTTCCTGATGATTAGGGTCATCTTGACCTCGTGCACGGGAGCAGGACGTTGTGTCAGGGAATCATTATTAGGCCTGTTTGCAGTTGTTTGTCATGAAACTGCGTCATATTTAGTAAGCATTATTGGCGACCTTTCTACTTACAGGTCGTTTTAGACGGTACGACTATAGCTCAAGTTTCTATTCGAAAATTATGGATATGAGTGCATTAAGATGATGGGAAGTGGCTCCTCAACTTTATTCGGCACTATAAATAAAAGCGCATGAGTTCGGAGTTACATAAATTGTCTATGCATTGGTGATTGACGGAAGATGAAAGTGTCGAATCTATTTCGGTAAAACCCGTCACTTTCAGTGCGGTTCCGCCTAGACTATAATGTACGAGCGTGGGGGTTGGAAAAAGAGACTATTAATTCCAAAGAAAATGTGTCTTTTTCGAAATACAGTAAACTACGGTTATAACGAACTCAAAGGGACTACTATTTTTAGTTCGTTATAACCGTAGTTCGTTATAAGCATATATACAGTATAACTACAGCAAATAGTCGGGACTAAAAAGTAAGTTCGTTATATCCGTCAGTTCGTTATAAGCGTGTTCGTTATAACCGTAGTTTACTGTATGTTCAAATTGAAACAATGTTGTGTAGGATAAATTTGAAATACTTTTAAGGGTACGATTAAATATGAATTAAATGCACTTTACACATTAGATAGGTCTTTCAGAAAAAAGCATTTAAGTAAAAGACTTATAGGAGTCAGTTATGAAGCTCCGAAATAATATATATGAACTATACCTCGGGTGGACATTCTAACCACACACCCATGTTGTCTGGTATGGACGTGCGCTAAAATGCACTGAATACTTGTATTTACAACTTATTGACTCTGTGTAATGACTTGGTATATCATTTAAAACCTTTTCATTTGAAGTATATATTCCTTTGCTAAATTAAAATTGAGGGTTTGGGGTTTCACTTATAGTCACGCTCGTGACAACAATACATTTTGAAAAAGGCTAAGATTTATAATAGTTAGCTCTTTAACGACCAGGCTACCCACATAAAAAGCGTAATAAATTGACCACTGTGGAAGGATCGAACCCAATTTTCAGTTAGACGAACACACGCATCGGCGAAATGCCTCACCCACTGTTTCATACATAGATAAAGATAATTTCACAATACATGACCATAAAGTATTTCTAATATTAATAACAACTTTTACATACGTGGCACCAAAGTATTGAAATAACTTGAAAAAGTCTTAAAATGCTATGTTCTTAACCATATTAAATACTGCTATAAATTATTGATAAAACATTCTCACATGTTTGTCAAACAAGCTAATACGAGTAAGTCTATTATACTTTAAACGGTTGAACATGCATATTGTGTCAGTGAATACCATATAAATATGTCTTTAAAACATTTGTTTGTGCAATATCATCGAAATGATATAATTAAATCTCATCCACATCAAATACCCTACGAAGTAGTGTCATCACATCCATAAACAAACGTATGCATAATGCAGCGGCCTGATCCTTGTATTCACATATTATTATAATAATAATAATAATAATAATAATAATAACAACAACAACAACAACAACAACAACAACAACAACAACAACAATAATAATAATTTTAAAAATGCCTCACATGTATGAATTCCCTTGATTTGCAACATCGGGTATAAATATAGATCCATTTATTCACGTAGAATAACTAATACCTCACATGTGAAGTCTCGTGATCTGGTTTAGCGAACCTCGGGACTTCATACGACCGCGATATACAATGTCTGCCGCAACGTTAATCAACACTTAATTAACCGTGTCGCCTAATTAACCGAAAGCCCCGATAAGCTTGAGTGAACAAAGAGGTTTTGTAATTGAAAGCGACAAAAAATATCCTCATATCGAACAGTTAAGCCGCCAATTAACTTGAACATCGTTTTCCCAGCCTCAATGGCTGGTGTTGACAATTCATAAAATAATGACATCTTAGGTCGTCATAACGTGAATGAAACTACCCTACAGTGATTGTCTGTAAGGTGTTGTGTCCTCCGCTGAGCAATATGTCCATACGTTGTTAATTTTGGATTGAAACTATCAAGTTCACTATTAAAAGTTGGAAATATATTTCCTTCGAATTTTCTCTGTCTCCATTTTGTACTAGTATCGAGTATTCCTTCACCTGGCGCACGCGTCGCGCAAATGAATATTTGAGCCTTTGATCATATCGAAGCTGAATGAAAAGAACCCTGAATGAAACGGCATACAGAGCTAATCAATACTACCAACCTCGACCCACATATTATTCTCAATGTAAACAACGGTCATACCCATTGCAATGTCTAAACAACAGCACGGCAACGAATGGGCGTGGCCAATTCACGCGTGAAACCTAGACTGACGTCACATTGCTTGGCACACTTGCAAAGTGCTTGAAAAACATAACTGGCATGAACAGAGATCCCCTCAAAACAAGGTCAAATATACAGCGTTGTTCGGTGTAATTGGCGATTTATACTTCGCTGAATGACAGCGCAAAGGGTTTGCTTTCCGGAAGGAAACTGACATGTAATTCACTACTGTTATGATTGACAGTCGTGTGGTAATCTGCCACCCCATTGGCTGTATTTGGAGAGGGATAATTTACATGAGAAATATCAATGTAATGTGCACAGTGCATTCGGCAGACGTGTGCAGACACACTGGAAAGTTGTTTGGACAGTCGTATCTTATTATCCTGCAAAAGTCTGATATTAAGAAGTATAATGACAATAAAAAGACTTTGCATTTCCGCTGGGCAGGGCTGGGGGAAATCTTTGCATAATGGAGTGTTCCATATTTGAATTGAGTCCCAGTGATGGCCTATACTTTTGTATCATTGCGCCTCTTTGCGACATTTAAAAAATACCATATTTTCTATAAAATATAGCGTGTGATGGCGACTAACATAATAGACAAAGCATTGAAACAATATGCAGTGACACAGCTGGCCATGGAGGCATGCTCAATGCGGAAACCCATTGGAACTACATTTTTCTTGCGCGGATGATAGAAAGTAGTGCTTCGTCCCATTTCCTGTCTTGTGGAAAAATCGTCGAGAGAGAAAATTTCTAGTTTATACTGTATTCTGTATACATAATCGAAGAATTCAACAGAAAAATGACCTGGAGAAGATGACAGAAGAACAACTAAAAAAGTAAGTGACATATATTTAAGTTTGATGTGCTGCCTCGCTTTGTCCTATGGGCTGAGTAAACTGGGCAGGGTGAAAGAATTTGTGGTTCAACATGGATGCCTCCTACCCAGCACGCCAAGCCAAGCGGCATTGATGAGGGTAGACCCATGTAAATACAGTATAAACTCTATTTCCTCGACACACGGACACAAGAAACTTTGTATTTAATAGTTTAGGTGTACAGTGAACGTTTTTACAATGTGCTAGTTAGTCCGAGACGTCTGATTGTGAGGCGAGTTGACACGGGATGGTTGCACGAATCCGAGACCTCTGTTTAGCCCTAGCAATTCATTCATAAAAGACTGTGAATGACGGTACGGGCCAGGGCTGGGCGGAAAGGACTAATGTTGTCGGTCAGTCCTTGTTAGCGGCATAGGGAATTCATTAAATCATTCCCGCTCCTAATTGTTCTTTTTAATGGTCGGTCGATGGTGTAATTATGTACATTTTAATAATTTGACACTGGTGAAGACAATGGTACGTGGATGCAGTTTGTGACTGTTGTCTTGTTTTCTCTCATCCCTATATGAATCATGAATGAACTTGGTTGGATGCTATCTATGGGCTTGTCTGAACACTTCCCGTGTCCATGTTTGATATATATATTGAAACAGGATTTCATATCTAGACATGCGGTTATTTCATTCATGAACGGGAAAACAGGAAGTTGTGCGGTTCCTGGCAAATAGAATATTCCTTGCGATGCTGATAATTTTCCTATGACATAACAGTTTCTTTGAAAGAAATATTATCCTTTCCAAGTATTATTTATATTTGAGATGAATCCTTTCTTTTTGATAAATATTCATCAATAACTTAATTTACCTGGATATTTCAAGTCATGAAATTAAATATGCATAACTAAAATTATTTCATCAAATTGTTATAGTATTTTCAGTGCACTGTAATTCTCAAATATTTGTGTTTAATCATACAAAATATTATACGTTAAATTTCTATGTTCATTACCTGAATGAAATATATATACATTATACATTATTTATCAAAGTAAGAGTGATCCGTCTATTTAACTAACAAAATGACAACAGTCTGGCTGACAATTAGTGATGCCGCATGGCAGGAGGGGAGAAACATGTTGAATAATTGGTTGCTACATTTTCAATTAATGCATGGCAGTAGACAGAGGCTGGTTCTAGATGTGTATTCTGTATAATGATTGTGTAGAAATTCTAGCAATAACAAAACCACATGATCACAATAATGTCCATCCTTGACATTGAATGAATGGGCTGAATATTAACAATACTGTGTATAGAGATGTTAAATTGGGTCATTGCAGTATTGGTTGTTATGTCCAGGTTAAAAAGGAACATTTTCCACAAAGTATAACTATTACAAGCATATCTGTTAAGTTTATTTGTGTCAGTTTGTGAAGTAATAATGTTGAACACAATGTGAACTTAAAATATCCTTGTATTTTATTTACCAACATTGTTCAGCTATGAATGTACAATGTTTCATTCAGGGGCAAACAGTAAAAGATTTCGATATGTTATTGTTTTATAATAACCCATTACTGAATTATTTGGTCTGTCATAGCTTCTAAATATTTTAATATTTCATGTCGATGAGAAATTGAAACATTCAGTCAGTGTTATTTTAAAAATTTGGACAAATGTTGATGTAATATTAATTATTATTTTGCACAATACTTGCAATAGCCTGCCTCGTACTCTTGATACCTGATATGACTTACGGATGTTAAAGTGGACATATAAATATGTGTTTAAAATATTGTAACAAATGTTAATGTTTTGGCTAAAACATTTGAATTTAATTTTAATATAGAATATTTTGTATCCTGCACAGTGTAAATCACATATTTACCAGTGATTACATTAATCTTGAGTTTAAATGCATATAGGTTCTCGGGATAACTTAAAGAGCTACCTAAAACATTCAACATGGTTATGTTAGATTTTAATTTTCCATATGAATAAATCTATTTGCAGGTCAGTGGTGTAAGCCTGATATAATGAATAGTCCAATGTCTTTATTGTGCAACTTCCCTATCACTGCCATTAAATATTGATAAAGTCAGGGCAACATGCTTTAGTACATGAGTTAAAAATATAATAATGAACATGGCACTGTCCCTTGGTGTTAAAATGACACATGACACAGACAATGTGTCTTATATGTACAGTACTTTATCATTTTGACCCACAACCCATGCTTGCCGTAAAAGCCGACTATGCTTGTCGTAGGAGGCGACTAACAGGATCGGGTGGTCAGGCTCGCTGATTTGGTTGATGCATGTCATCATATCCCAATTGTGTGGATCGATGCTCATGGGGTCAATCACTGGATTGTCGGGTCAAGACTCGATTATTTACAGACTGCCGTCATATAGCTGGCATATTTCTGAGTGAGGCGTCAAACCACAAACGAAAACTTTATCATTCAGTATTTGAAATTTGAAATTAAGAATGAAGGGGTCCTTGTCATGACCCTCATGTTTTGAATAAAATTTTATTCTAGTCAGTGACAAAAAAACCATTTATGACTACTAGCCCGAACATGGCTTTTAGCATCTCTTCTTTAGATTCTAGGTTTATTATATAGACTATTATTAGTTGAGCTTACTAGACCGTTCCAAATTATGCTAGACCTGGGCTTCATACTAGTGGCAAGTAAAGATTTGCGTTAGAATTTGCTGCCAGCAGCCCATGCTTGTCTCAAGATGTGTCAACCATGATCAGGTGGTCAGGCTCGCTGACTTGGTGGATGTGTGTCATCGTATCCCAGTTGCACAGAATGATGCTCATGATGTCAGTCACTGGATTGTCTGGTCCAGTTTCGATTATTTACTGACAGCCATCATGCAGCTGGAAGACTGCTATGTGCGGCATTAAAAACAAACAAGTTGGATTTCCGCCTGTTGATTACCAAAGGGTTGTATTATGCAGGGTTAGAATTCTACAGAGTTGCAGTCTACGGTATGGTAAGAGTGGCAGTCGACAAGTAAATGTAGCCAGTCCTCTCTAAATTTTACTTGCAGACTTATTGTATATTTCGCACCCAGTTATGATTCAAACAATTTTGAAAATGTCAGGCTGTTTTGGATTTGAATTGAAGTATTGATAAATAAAATAAAATATATCAGTGCATCTGTTAGCGATACCATAGAAACTATTTTAGATCACACAAACTATATTTCAGGCTGCGTCAACCATGGAAGCAACCTTATTTATCATTTTGACATGTACTAGTTCCCGTATATCACTGTATAAGGCGACGTTTTCGTTTGTAGAATTAGGGGGTTTCAAGGTGGGGTCACCCGGTGCACAGGGTAGACAACTTTTGATGTTATTTTTTCCCCCAACACAAAGACAATACTGTGAGCATGTTACACTGGAAATACCATGTCAACAAATCTGTATTGAAGTACGCAAATTAGTCTTGTAATTACACTGTCTGGTTATAAAGTGTTCATTGTATATCTGGGCTTACGGTCCCTTTGACAATCTCGAGCGTGGGAGCATTGACTGTGATTGGTCAAATTATTCCAAACGTAAACATATCTGGCAATTGCAATCAGTTGCACCCAAGTGCTACCCTTATGGTTATGAATTTATTTCGAACATTTATAGGAAAGCTGCAACTAAAGTAACATGATGTTGGAATATTTTTATCCAGATAAAATAATAGTTTCAGATACAAATCAGATCATTGTATCAAAATTCTTCACATGCTACACTGCAGTACATACCCCTACCAAACCTACACTACAGTATCTACACTGCAGTGCATCCCCCTACAGTATCTACACTACAGTATCTACACTACAGTATCTACACCACAGTACCCACACTACAGCATCTACACTACAGTATCTACACTACAGCATCTACACTACAGTATCTACACTGCAGTGCATCCCCCCACAATACCTACACTACAGTATCTACACTACAGCATCTACACTACAGTATCTACACAACAGTATCTACACTGCAGTGCATCCCCCTACAATACCTACACTACAGTATCTACACTACAGCATCTACACTACAGTATCTACACAACAGTATCTACACTGCAGTGCATCCCCCTACAATACCTACACTACAGTATCTACACTACAGTATCTACACCACAGTACCCACACTACAGCATCTACACTACAGTATCTACACTACAGTATCTACACTGCAGTGCATCCCCTACAGTATCTACACTGCAGTGCATCCCCTACAGTATCTACATTACAGTACCTACACTACAGTATCTACACTACAGTATCTACACTACAGCATCTACACTACAGTATCTACACAACAGCATCTACACTACAGTATCTACACAACAGCATCTACACTACAGTATCTACACTGCAGTGCATCCCCTACAGTATCTACACTGCAGTACATCCCCTACAGTACCTACTCTATAGTATGTACACTACAGTATCTACACTGCAGTGCATCCCCTACAGTACCTACTCTATAGTATCTACACTACAGTATCTACACTGCAGTGCATCCCCTACATTATCTACACTACAGTACCCACACCACAGTACCTACACTACAGTATCTACACTGCAGTGCATCCCCTACAGTACCTACTCTATAGTATCTACACTACAGTATCTACACTGCAGTGCATCCCCTACAGTACCTACTCTATAGTATCTACACTACAGTATCTACACTGCAGTGCATCCCCTACAGTATCTACACTACAGTACCAACACCACAGTACCTACACTACAGTATCTACACTGCAGTGCATCCCCTACAGTACCTACTCTATAGTATCTACACTACAGTATCTACACTGCAGTGCATCCCCTACAGTACCTACTCTACAGTATCTACACTACAGTATCTACACTACAGTATCTACACTACAGTATCTACACTGCAGTGCATCCCCTACAGTATCTACACTACAGTACCCACACCACAGTACCAACACTACAGTATCTACACTGC